GCCACCCGCTCCCATTTCATATATCTTGTTGTAGGCGTGCAACCCGATCCCATTTCCAATGTCACCGTGGCGGCGTGCCACCCGCTCCCATTTACATATCAACATCAATCACAAAGAATTCCGGCAAGGGCACAAGAGTACAACGACAATATCCCGGCAAGGGAGGCAATATCGTACACAATAACATCCCGACAAGGGAGACAATGTCATAACAAGAACATCCCGGCAAGGGAGACAATATCATAAACCATAACATCCCGGCAAGGGAACCAACAATGATAACCAACATATTAAGCATGAACAAATCATAACAGAGTCACAACAACTGCAATATGAGACTCACGGGCATACTTGACACCGGCGTATAGATACTTGTCACCATGCCTATACGTCGTACTCCACGATTAGCACATAGCAAATAAGACACAACTCCTAATCTCCCAAGCTAAGGTTAGACCAAACACGTACCTCGATGCCACGAACACAATTCAAGCCTCAACTACCGCTTTACCTCTTGATTCCACCACCGATTCTCTTGTATCTAGCCACAAGTTACTTAACTATATCAATAAATGCTAAATGAATCAATTCTAATGCATGAAAATAGGTTTTCTAAAGTTTTTCCCAAAAAGTCAAAAATCGACCCCGGGCCCACATGGTCAAAACCCGAGGTTCGAACCACAACCCGATTACCCATTCATCCACAAACTCAATTATATAATTTATTTTGAAATTGGACCTCAAATCGAGGTCCAAATCCCCAAAATTGGAAAATCCTAAGTTCTACACAAAACACCAAATTCCACCATGAAAACCCTAGATTTTAGGATGAAATCTTGTAAAAAGAAGTTAAGGAGTAAAATAGATGAGTTAAAAATCACTTACTTGTGTTTTGGGGAAGAAAGAGTGTTTTGAAAATCGCCTCTTATGTTTTAAGGTTTTGAAAATTGTAAAATAGCTGAAGAGTCCCGTTTATATACTCCTCTCAGACCCTCACCGCGGACCGCATAAAAAGGACGGTGGCCGCGGAGTTCCTCCGCGGACCGCGAAATATCGAGCGCGGCCGCGAAGGCTTGGCCTTGCTCACCCCGGACCGCATAAATCCCACCACGGCCCCAAGAAATCACTGCGGACCGCAAAGTCTGGTTCAGAGACCTGCAACTTCTCTGAAACTGCAACAACTATGTTCTAAGTCTAAATCCACTCTGTGGCCTATCCAAAACTCACCCGAGCCCTCGGGGCTCTAAACCAAACATGCACGCAAGTCCAAAAATATCATACAGACTTGTTCGTGCGATCAAATCATCAAAACAACGTCAACAACCATGAATTAGACCTCAAATTCATATAATTACTCATGAACATCCAAAATTTCTATTTTTTTCAAATAAAGGCCCGATTTATACTTAACGGACTCCGATTCTTACCAAACTTCACAGGTTCAACTTAATTATTACTTCAAACTTGTATCGGGCTCCGAAACCAAAATACGAGCCCGATACCATCAATTTCAACATCTTTTTATTTCCAAAAACTCTTATATTTTCCAGAGAACAATTTTCTTCGAAAATTCATTTCTCGAGCTTGCGACCTCGGAATTGGATTGCGGGTATACGCCCAAGTCCCTTATTTTCCTACGGACCCTCCTGGACCGTTAAATCACGGGTCCGGGCCCGTTTACCCAAAATATTGATCGAAGTCAACTTAAATTCATTTTAAAAGCAAAATTCCTTATTTTTTCACAGATTTTCACATAATGGCTTTTCCGGATACACGTCCGGACTGCGCATGCAAATCGAGGTGAGACAAAAAGGAGGTTTTAAGACCTCGAAACACAGAACTTATTTCTAAAACAAGTGATGACCTTTTGGGTCATCACAAACAACATATATAGTAAAGAGAAAAATATAGTAATAATAAATTATATGAGATAAAGTAAAATAGACGAAAGTGGGAGGGCAGATATTATGTAGGGGCGTAGGCATCTTGCTCTTTGTTGAAAGTTTTTCGTATGTATAAATAATAAATAAAATTAAAATATTAGGTATATATATATATAAAAAATGACACTTGCCGTTACAATAGTTTATTAATTTGTTTCCTTCTTCAAATATTGACACTACTTACGAAGATTCCTACGTACGCCACGGATAGTATGTATCGACACCAATTAGTATGTTTTCACCTTCTAACAGCTGCATTGGAAATCTTTTGATTTATTCAAGAATAATCTTACTTAAATATGAACCTCAAAATCTGCTCTTGCTTGGAAAGCCCAACAAAAAGAACAAAGAATATTTAACTCTGCTAATACATTAAGCTTCAGATGCTGCAATCAGTTATAAAATATATGTGCAAAACACGAATTAAACAAATGCTTTGCAAAGTGCAACTTTGAGCTCTATGTAGTACTTAAACCTCAGAGTAACTATTTTAACTCTTTAAGACAACACAGCCATAGGGATCTCCTTAGTTAAAGTCTGTTATCTCAAAAACACACGTTGTTCCCTCCATAGAGGCTGAAGCAAGGTACTCCCTGTTGGACGATGCAGCTATAGACTGAATTGCACTAGTGTGTCCGCCAAAGGTCCTCACACAGTCTCCAGAACGGCTATCCCATATCCGCACTTTCCCATCAACACAACCTGTTGCCACATGTGTAGATTGCCCCAGCCACAATAAGCATGTCACGCCATCCTAAACAAAGTTATTGTCAGCGAATGGCACACAAAAAAATTGTGGTTTAGAGCAGATGGATGTTCAACTGCATGTAAAGATACAGAAATATACAGTTGGAGCACAAGAAAGTTCAAACCTCATGTTCACATATGGAGCGAGGTGAGGAGCGCTGCAAGTCCCAAATAATGAGCTTATTATCCATGCCTCCAGTTGGGGTGAAATTAAAAAATAGCCAGATTTACAACTGGTCGTTCAAAAATAGCTCAGTTTCAAAAGTAATCGAAATTTAGCCACTTTTCATGTAAAGATAAATCTGAGCGAAAACACTGTTCAAAACACAGGAAAATACGCCAATATATTATGCTGGAGTTCCAACATAAGTATATTTGAACTCCAGCATATTATACTGGAGTTCCAGGATAAGTATGCTGGAACTCTAGCATAATATGATGGAGTTCCACCATAAGTACACTAGAACTCCAGCATAATATACTGGAGTTCCAGCAAGTATACCGGTCCAGCATAATATACTGGAGTTTGGAGCACCGGTGCTCCAGTCTCCAGTATATTATACTGGAGCCGGCAAAGTATACCGGTGCAGCATAATATGCTGGAGTTCATACACAGGTGCACCGAACTCCAGTATATTATGCTGGACCGGTCTCTGTTGCAGCAAAATAGTGGCTAATTTTCATTGACTTAGTAAACGCTGACTATTTTTGAATGGCCAGTCCGAAAACTGGCTATACCGTGCTATTTTGACCTTCAGTTGCAGCCCAAGGAGCGCTGAAAGTCATTTCACATGATGGAAGTAGTTTAAAGCACCAAATATTAATTTAGCAAACCCAAAAATTACTAATAGAGAGCGGAATATTCAAGGATATCATGGGCCCAATAATACTATGCTTAGGTTGCTAATTAGTATGTGTAAATTTTCCTCTTAATTTATATGCACCGGTAATATAAAATTTTACTTAAAATATCAAGTTATTAAAATAGTAAGTGCTTCTAAGGTTTTGACACATGCATTAAGAGAATCATTTAATAACATTAATACAATTGTTATTTAACTAAGTTATCCTTTATATCTTCTTAAATTACTCTTTGTATATACACATATTTTCTAGATCATTTATTGGTTCAAGGATAGTTAGGGAAAATACTAACTAATGCCTCTTGATAGAAATGAAAGGTCAATTTTAATTTAAAACCATTTGCTTCTATTTTGTATATATTTATTTTTCTTTTTCACGTTAAGTTAGACTCTATTTTGCTCTACTATTTTATTTTTATAAGATTTTATAGATGGGTATTGCTCAAGTTTGATTAATATTAATTTACCGTGATAGAATGAAAGATCAATTTTAATTTAAAACCAAAAAAAAAAGACTCTAATTTTATTTTATAAAATTTTAAAAATAAATATGCTAAAGTTAGATAATAAAGACATATTAGTTTTAATTAAAAAGAAACTGCAAAATAATTTATTTTTGATTTACTATGAAGTTCATGTTTGAGAAGGAAAAATTTGAGACTACATGCGCCCAAAATATAATCCAGATGTGATACTTATAAATTTGTGAGAATGCCCTAAATGGAATTCACATTAAATAATCATTCTCCATATACAACTGTAAATAAGTAAAATCTACTAATAATATAATCTAACTTTAAGATATTTATGTTAAACACATACATATTGCTAAATAATCTATTATTTTTTTCTTATTCAAGTACTCTCTTTGTATGTTTCTATATTATTTTCTCTAAATAAAAGTATTCGGCGTAAAAGATGACAACCTAAATTATGCTTTAATATACGTATAAAAGATCATTAGAATTCTAAATATTTTTATGTAGTTTTCAACTTTTAATTCACATCTAGTGCACCCAAACTAAATATATAGTAGTACTAATATTTACGTATATATAACAGTGTAAGACTACATCCAGTAGTAATTAAAGCAGCATTAGAATTTAGAACTTTAAATGGGCCACATTTCTTCAATGAGTTGTACAGTAGAAATAGCTAATATGCAGAATGATAGCAACGTGTAAAACAAAACTCAGATGGGACCCACATCTCCATAAAAGCTTTTGAAACTATGGCTATGTATGATGAGATAAGCAAGGGGCAATTTCGTCTAAGTCATTCAAAAATTTATATGGTAGCACATTGCTCCATTTTAAATGAATTTATCAAAACACCCTCCCACTGCCAAGCAGGCATGTTGACCTCCTGTGTGTTTATTCCCTCTTATTAATAGTTAGCAGAATTCTGAAACAGTGGCAACTTGCTTTCTTATGTACAATTGAAACTAGTATAAGATCACTCGCCATGAAGATGCAATGGGAGCCTCCAGTGGACCAAGGCTATCCGGGATGCAGAAGCAAGTGCTTGCTCTTTATAGGGGATTCCTAAGAGCAGCACGCTCCAAGCCTGTTGAGGAGAGAAGGCAAATTGAGTCAATTGTATCAGCTGAGTTCCACAAAAATTCTAAGCAAGTTGACCGTAAGAACTTTATTATTGAATACATACTTCGTCGTGGTAAGAAACAACTTGATCAGCTTAAAAGCCCTGATACTGTTGGATTGTCATCGTTGAGTGTTGAATCTTCACGAACTAGGAACTCATCCTCCTAGATTTTTCTTACAAAATCCACTCGTGTTCAACTTTATTGGAGTTGGTTGATTATCTCATCTCTTTTTCTGGGATAGCATTGGGCATTTGAATGCCAAAATTTTATTTACAAACACATATACTGGGATTCAGAAACATATGTACGGTGTTAAGAGTTTGTAATGTACCATTATCTAGAGTGAGAGTCTGTGACGACCCGGCCAGTCGTCTCATGAGTTACCGCTCCGTTTCCCCCATTTCTGCTTCTTATTGCTTTGTTTATCCGTGTTTATGATATCGGGTTGGTCGGATTAAATCCGGATTGGTTTTGGTGAAGTTGAGACACTTAGTCTCTTTTAAGAAGGCTTAAGTTGGAAAAAGTCAACCGGACGTTGACTTATGTGTTAGAGAGCTGGGATGTGAGTTCCGATGGTTCGGTTAGCTTCGGGAGGTGATTTGGGGCTTAGGAGTGTGATCGGAATGAGTTTTGGAGGCTCGGAGAAGATTTAGGCTTGAATCGGCGAACTTGATATTTTGGTAATTTCCGGTTGGTAGGCGAGATCTTGATATAGGGGTCGGAATGGAATTCCGAGAGTTGCAGTAGCTTTGTTGTGTCATTTGGGATGTGTGTGCAAAATTTCAGGTTATTCGGACGTGGTTTGGTTGGGTTTTTGATCAAAAGCGAAATTCGGAAGTTTTTAGAAACTTAGGCTTGAATCCGAGGTGTTTTGGTTGATTTGATGTTTTTCAAAGTGTTTTGATGATTGGAACAAGTTTGAATAAGGTATTAGATTATGTTTGTGCTTTTGGTTGAGGTCCCGGGGGGCCTCGGGGTGATTTCGGGTGGTTAACGGAGAGGTTGAGGTGTTATTGCAGCTGCTGAGATTGCTGCTTCTGGTGTTTTTGCACCTGCGGTTTGGGGACCGCAGGTGCGGTGCCGCACGTGCGGAAAGGGAGCCGCAGAAGCGGATTTGAGAGGAAGAGCCAGGAGCCGCATATGTGGTGGATTGACCGCACCTGCGAGGCGCAGATGCGGAGAGTTGACCGCAGATGCGGTATTTTGCCCGTTAAGTGATTTCCGCAGATGCGGAGGTAAGACCGCATATGCGGTACCGCAGAAGCGGCTATAGTGCCGCAGATGCGGAATAACTGGACAGAGGGATTGGAGCTTTTTGGGCGATTTGAAAGAGGGATTTCAAGGAACTTCATTGAGGTAAGGATTTTGGACCTAAAACTCATTCCTATGCTATTATTTCATGGATTAGAGCTAGAATTTATGGAAATTAAGGGTGAAATTTGGGGAAGCTAGGGTTTAGGATTGGAGACCTATGATTGAGGTTTTGATGAACCATTTGAGGTCGGATTTCTGAGTTTTTGGTATGTATGAACTCGTGGGAAGATAAGGAATCTATTGGTGAAAGAATTTCTGAATTTCGAGACGTGGGCCCGGGGGTCGGGTTTTGGTAATTTCGGGATTTGTGCTAATTGTTGATTAGTTTGCTTGGGCTTCGTTCCCTTAGCATATTTTGACGTCCTCGTTATGATTTTTGATAGATTCGACGCGCGTGGAGGCCGATTCGAGGGGCAAAGGCGTCGCGAGCTAGAGAATTAGCCTGTTCGAGGTGAGTAATGATTGTATATGATGTTATGAGGGTTTGAAACCCCGAATTGCACATCGTAGTGCTATGTTGAGGTGAGGCACACGCTTGAGGACGAGCGTGGGGTCGTGCACTATTGGGGATTGTGACTTGGTCCGTCCCGATTGATGATTTTATCACGTATTTGATTAAAAACTATTTTCTATCATCATTATTTGGGCTGAATGCCATATTTGGGCCTAGTGCCAACTATTTGAACCCTTCGGGGCTTCTTATTGATATTTCCTCACCGTTTTGACTTTATTCTTGAACCCAGTCATGTTATTTTCCACTGTTTTCATACTCAGCCATGTTTACTCAGTTTTAAGACTTAAATGATATTTTAAATGATGTTTGCGCTGAGAAATACTATTTTATTATTGCCAGAGGGCCTATGTTGTGAGAGAACATTGATACTGATTTAAGGCCGAGGGCCTGAGATATGTACGCCACGAGGTGGCTTGATTGATATGAGGCCGAGGGCCTAGTTTTGATGCCACGAGATGGCTTGTTATTGCGCTTGGGCCGTAAGGGGCCCTTCGAGGAGTCTGCACACCCCCAGTGAGCACGGGTACCCATTGTGATGTGAGATTGAGCCCGAGGGGCTGGTATTGTTTCTGAGATGTTGCCCGAGGGGCGGATTGGTGGATACCGTGCCCGAGGGGCGAACTTCTATTTGTTTACTTTACCTTAATTGCCTGTCAGTTACCTGTTTATTTGTTAGGAAAGGATTTTACTTAATTCTTCACTGATTTACTGTTTTATTAAAATGGTTTTACTGTTTCATTATAGTATGCCTTGTGCCTTACATGTTTTCTTACTTTCAATCGTTATTTACATTTCTTACTCACTGAATTGGAGTACTCACTTTACTCCCTGCACCCTGTGTGCAGATTCAGGCGTAGCTGGACCCGCTCCCGAGTGCTGATTCATTCCAGCTTCAGGCGGATCTCGAGGAGTCTTTAGGTAGCTGTTGGCGTTCGCAGCCCGAAGCTCCTCCCTATCTCTTTCCTTTTTATATTCTTAGTTCAGTACTAAACTCTGTAGTTACATTTGAGTATTCAGTGTTGTTAGATGCTCGTGACTTGTGACACCCCGGTTAGGGCTGTGTTGGGTTGTACTTCCGCACGTTATTGATATTATCTGCTACTTAATATTATTAAATCATGTTTTAGACTGCTTTGTGTTGTTTAACTGTTTAAAAAGGTAAATGGGGTTTAATTGGCTGGCCTTGTCTTCACGAGAGGCGCCATAACGACCGGGTTTGGGGAATAGGGTCGTGACAAGTTGGTATCAGAGCCTAGATTACATAGGTCTCACGAGTCATGAGCAGGTTTAGTAGAGTCTCGCGGATCGGTACGAAGACGTCTGTATTTATCCTCGAGAGGCTGCAGAACCTTTAGGAAACTTCATATTCTTGAAATTCTTGTCGTGCAAATTTGTTGATCCGAGTACTAATCTTCTGTTATTCTATTCTCTCACAGATGGTGAGGACGCGCACTACCGGACAGGGTGGACGACCACCAGTACCACCAGCCGGGGCCACTAGAGGCCGAGGACGCGGCCGTGGTCGTGGTAGAGGCAGAGCAGTGAGGGCAGCACCTGCAGATCTACCAGCTGCCCCAGTTCAGGACCAGGTCCCAGCTGTGGACCCTCCAGCAGCACCAGCTCAGGCACCAGCTGTGCCTATTGTGATTCCGGGTCTTCAGGAGGCCTTGGATCAGATCTTATCAGTTTGCACTAGCCTAGCTCAGGCGGTTTCAGCCACTACAGCCGCAACTACTTCTCAGGCCGGGACAGGCAGTCAGACTCCCGCCGCCTGCACACCTGAGCAGGTCGTGCAGGGACTTCAGACGCCGGGGGCACACCCAGCTCAGCCGGTCGCAGCTGCTCAGGACTATGTAGTTCCTGCCATGCCAGAGGATGAGCAGCGTAGGTTGGAGAGATTTGGTAGACTTCAGCCTCCGACCTTCAGTGGGGCAGAGGGCGAGGATGCCCAGTGCTTTTTGGACAAGTGTCAGAGGATGCGTCAGACAGCCGGTATTCTGGAGACCAGCGGGGTCGCTTTCACTACTTATCAGTTTTTAGGACCTGCTTTAACTTGGTGGGAGAATTTTGAGAGGCGTAGGCCTGTTGGTGCAGCACCCCTTTCCTGGCAGCAATTCTCCGTTCTCTTTCTGGAGAAGTATGTGCTGGAGTTTCTTAGAGAGGAGCTGCGTGGACAGTTTGAGTGGTTGCATCAGGAGGAGATGACCGTGTCACGGTATGAGTTGAGGTTCTCTGAGTTGGCTCGTCACGCCATCTGGTTGGTCCCGACAGATAGAGAGAGGATCAGGAGGTTTGTCGATGGTCTTACTTATTAGCTCCGTATTCTCATGACCAGGGAGAGGGTGATTGGTGCTACATTTGAGGAGGTTGTGGATATTTCCCGGGAGATTGAGTCTGTTCGTCGCTAGGAGCGAGAGGAGAGGGATACCAAGAGGCCTCGAGGATCTGGTAGCTACAGTGGTGCTCCTTCGAGGGGCCAGTTTCAGCACGGCAGAGGCCAACAGTTCCAACATGGTCAGTCAGATCGCCCAGGTTATCGAGGGGCGTCATCGGTCATGGTTCTCACAGTTCACACCAGGGGCATTCTTCACTTAGTGCCCTTCCAGCTCAGAGCTCATCCGTGCTCCATCAGTCCAGGGCTCTTCTATGCCGAGTGCATCTGCTAGTCACTCCGGTGCGAGGGGTTCCCATCAGTTCCCTTCTCCAGCACCTGGGAGTTGTTACGAGTGTGGAGAGATGGGCCACATGTGGAGGCAGTGTCACCGTCGTGTTGCTAGTTCATCCCAGCAGAGGAGCGAGTAATCAGCCTCAATGCGAGTTGCTCCACTACCACTCGCCCAGCCAGCTAGGGGTGGGGGTCAGTCAGCCAGGGGGAGGCCGATAAGGGGGCGGTCAAGCCCGTTTCTATGCTCTTCCAGGCAGACCCGATGCTATCGCTTCAGATGCTGTTATTACAGGTATTGTTTCAGTCTGCCATAGAGATGCCTCTGTATTATTTGATCCCGGTTCCACCCATTCTTATGTGTCATCATACTTTGCTCGTCATTTGGGTACGCCCCGTGAGTTTCTTGCCCTACCTGTTCATGACCCCAGTGGGCGATACTGTTGTTGTAGACCGTGTGTACCAGTCGTGTGTGGTGACTATTGGGGGTCTGGAGACCCGAGTGGATCTTTTATTATTGAGTATGGTGGATTTCAATGTCATTCTGGGCATGGATTGGCTATCTCCGTGCCGCGCTATTCTGGATTGTCATGTTAAGACAGTCACATTGGCTATACCGGGTGTGCCACGGATCGAGTGACGAGGTGTGACTGATTATGTTCATAGTAGAGTAATCTCTTTCTTGAAGGCCCAACGTATGGTTGGGAAGGG